CCCTTGTGTTTTTATAGAAAAAAAGTTAACATGAATATTACAAGAAAATAGATTAGAATGAAATCCATCGAAGAAAAAAGCTAGAGTCCTAACAGAAAAAATAAATTTTTCAACCTTTTTCCCCCTACATTTTGTGCCGATGTTTTGGCGGGCCGGTCCAAACCACGTCGCGGGCCGGATCTGGCCCGCGGGCCGTAGTTTGGGCATCACTGCTGTTTATCGTTGGGAAAACAAATCGTTGGCCAAACTGGGACAACTTTGGCTTGACAGTTATAGTTTTTCGAATTTAATAAATTTTAATTTGGCTAGAGAAAGAGAAAATGCTTTTATCTTGAAAGGACTAGACGTCTTCGGGTATTTCCGCAACTAATTTTTAAGGGAAAATTGTTCACGTGTCTTCCAGTCTTATCTAAAAGGGCCATCGTTGGAATATTATAAAGTGTAGTAGATCAATACATTCGCTTTACCAGGAGTCTTTTTCGGGGGGAGGGGGGAGGGAGGCGGAAGGGGGAATTGGGGGAGGGATAAAATGTTCCATTGTTTTTAATCTAACATTCATTGGTTACTAATTAAAGAAAAACAATCGCTCTACAAGTTATATAGGGGAGGTATTGCCCTTTTTAAAAAAAGTATATTTTAAAGGATTTTCTTGTTATGTTTCCAGCTTTGGATCTATATCCCTAAAGTAGAATTTTCTAAACTCAGAGTAAATTTATACATGGGCGTTACTCGTTTTCTTTTCTGATGGGGGAGTATTGGGGCGTGGTAAAAATTTTCCTTTTTTATTATCATTTATCTCTAGTTATTAGAGCTAAGCATTCTTACTCTCACAAGGTCCCTAACTTAACGAAGGAAGCTTAAAAAAACGACTTTTATTTATGTAACTTGTTTAACGAATTTTTTAAATGACCAATTTCTTTTCTTTGTTTAGGCTAATTTACCCACGACCTGGAGAGAGGAAAAAAGAAGTGATCTAAACGCCGCTTTAAGTAAGTATATTGGCTTACGTTGTTGAACTACTTTAGAATCAATATTCTAAAATATTTTTATCATTGTGATGCAGATTTAAAATAAATACCAGATGACTGAGCCTCGCTCGGTTAAATAACTTGTTGAGGAAAGATATTTATTTATTTTGGAAACATTTTGTAATGATGAAAATGAGCGATCGGGTTAAGACTCGCAATCCAAAGAGTTGCTTTCGTGTTCTTTAAGTTGTAAATTTCAATGGGCATGGCGATTAGAAAAGAAAGTCTCTTAAGTCCCCATATAGAATACGCGTATGACATTATCATCTTCTTTTTTGAAGTAACATCTGTATTTCATAAGATAAGATAAGATACAGTCTAGAAAACCGCAGCTCACGTCGAGTCGTTTACACATTGCATCTTTTGCCTAAAACTATTGGGTTATTATTGGTTTGGAAGAAATTCTTTGCAGTGTAACTTTTAAAATGGTTACGTTCTGACATTAATATTATAATTAGTATATTCATCAAGTCTTTAGTATGAAAGAGCAAGTGCTGCAATATCTCTTGGGTAAAACATGAACTTTTTTTTTTTTGACTTTTAACAAAATAAAATGGCAGAAAGATGTAAAAACATTGCGTTAGTATTCTAAAGAAGTATTCTCGTCAAATTAATTTTTGGACAAACAAAAGTCGGAGCAGTCAACGAAATCGCATAAGCTGCCGCTTCTTTAGTTTTATCTATAAGCCTAAAAAAAAAAAAGCAACAGAAGTCATGTTCCAGAATTCACATAATAAAACCTCTTAAGCCCCAAAGATCCACGTAAAAGGCCACCCCCTCAACGCGGTGAACAGCTTCATATATGCATGGCATCGAATGAATCATCGTTTTGAAGGGAAGTTGATAACCGTCCGGAGAGGGCTAGTAGTGCTTTAGGACGCCTCCAGGAATGAGTTGGGGAATAAATCCACAAAAATCAGTGTCTACCAAGCAACTCTTCTATAATGATCTGAGACATGGGTACTCTACAGAAAGCAGCTAAGACTTCTTGCACGCTTTCACCAAAGATGTTTTCGCTCCATCATGGATATACGGTGGGGCAAGACCCGCACTACGAACAGCGATATTCTTGCGAACGCTGGTACGGACAGTATAGAGAGACTTCTTATGGTTCGACAGTTACGCACTTGGCTACACAGGCTCTGGTTTGACCGTTATAATTTTGGAAGTATAATAATCTAAAAATTGAATTTAGATTTAAAGATGTTGGATAGAAAACAAAATGTAAATTAAGTTTACAGCACAATCGATCAGCTCTGAGAGATCTGAATTGAGAAGATAGTTTTTTTTTAGCATCTGAATTAGTATTTCTAGCTTAGCTTTTGCTGTTCTTTCCTTATTTGGGTCTACATATTTATTCGAACAATCATTTACAAGCATTAACTTTATCAATAGTAAGTTAAGAAATGGGCTTATGGATAAGAACTTGGAATCATGCTTTGCAAGAAATTTCATTGTTAACATTTTTTTAAATGATTAAATATGTTATATTAAAAATATTATCTATATTAAAGTAAGATTCTAAGGTATAGTTATATTAATAAAACATATTCAACATGGGTGAGATCGAGATTGTAATTTTAATCCCAATCGTTTCCGTAAATATGTCTGACTCTTTGAGTAAGCAAAAATTGTGTATGTATTTTTTAATATTTGGCTCTTTTGAATTAAAAGTTTGCCTACCATTGGTCTAGACCTAGACTATCTTTATCTTGACTTAATCTACGTCAACGGGTATTCCAGCATGTCTTCAGGAGTGAAATTAATAAATGGAAATTCAGGAAAATTTTGAGGACTGTCTTCTTCTAAGTCTGGATCTATAGGCCTGTCACTAAACTAGCATATCTTTTTTAATGTTGCCATATTAGGAGCAGAGTAATCACTCAGAGTAGTCATCTACTTCGTAAAAAAAAGATTGTCTCAAAAAACATTTAAAATATTTTACATGTGATTTTTTAAATTTTTTTAATTAGATTTATTTGCAACTTTATAGAATTAGGGCTATTTAACAAAACAGTTCAAACGTTTTTCTTTTTTTAATTTCATATTATAAGTCATCTAAGTATGAGCAGCCCATTTACATTTTAAAAAGTCGCATGCCGCGTCAAGGGTCCCTTTCATATGGGAACATTATAAAGTCTCTTACAAATGTAATAGCACAGGCTATTCTACGATTTTAGTTTAAAGAGAGGTATTGGTCTGCGTGAGCCAATTGTCACTTTAAAAATTCTTTGAGCAGTCTGAAGGCAATAAAGACCAGCTTTGGCGACAACTGACATAGAAGAGAGCACCTGGCTGCCTTTGCATTGTGACAACAAACTGGCAGTTAAAAATAAATGGGAAACAATGGCAGTTTAACTAAGATTTGTTGATTAGAAAATATTTTCATCATGATTAATTTTATTTTCAGTTGGAGAATCAGAAGATGATCTACACACGCGTTTTGTTGGCTGTAAGAAGAATCCAGGTCATAGACAGTTTATACCAATTAATAGATTCACAATAAAACATTTACCTAAGGGTAATCAAGACGATGATTTGTATAAACTTATTAAAGCTACAGCTGAACTGACAGTTAAAGTAGATGTAATGATTGACAGAAATATCATCAAGACAGGAAGTGGTAGAGTGTGGAGAGTAAGTCAATACCAAGATGGACTTAGTACAAACGGAAGTAAACATTGGAAGTATACTAAATGTTGGTGTAGAAAATGTGAAGCTTCAAAGTCACCTAGCAATTTGTGGTGGGAGTTTGATGTTGAAACAGCAGCAGATGTCGTTTCTAATGATATTGAAGCATCCCACACAACCCTAAGACTTTTCTATGATAGAAATGATAGTCCAGTGGTCAGTCTTGATAAAGTCAGAATTTATAAAGTTAACAATGAGTACGACTTATGTTCAATGAAATCAGTTACTTGTGACCAAGCATTGGGTATAAAACTAAAGGAGTTGTCGCTCAATTGCATAGATATCTGGGGAAACGTCTGGAATAAATACAATAAATCTAGAGATAAGCACAGGTTGACTTTTCTTATTGCACATCCTCACGGATTTTCTAAACAGGTCTGTGTTGGTCAATGGAAAGATAAAGTCCAGGTAGATTTTGACAGTTATAAATTCACTTACACAGCTTGTACATGTCCTGGAAGTAGTGGTGCCGCAGTATTCTGCGTGGGATATAGAGGGTGGTGGGGCTTGAATCAAAGTTTGCATTTAGGAACTTTTGATTCTGGATTAAATTTTTCTGGAGTTAGCTCTGATTTTTAATTGTTACAATTGTAGTGAAAGAGCCAGAAAAAATTGCATTGTTATTTTCATTAGAGAAATATAATTTTTAAACTGATTTCAGACATTTTCTGAGAACACAAAGATAGGCTTAAATAAATATAAATTTGTCTTGAAGTCATTTGCTACCTCCAAAGAACTTTTTAAGAGAAACACAATCTGGGTAGATTTCATTTGATATAAACACAATAATTTTTTTGTCACAATTTTCTTTTACCATATTACACTTTAACAGTGATTTCTATGAATTTGGTAAAACTTGGGATGTGTCAAACGCTATTTCTTGTTACTTCCATGTGACCTTCCCACCTAGTTTAAATATTTATCATTACATTTATACAAATTAACAGGTTCATTTTGTCCAGTCTTTCCATCAATTTAGTTGTTTAATATTTTCAAGATAACCTTTAGAAAAGTGTTTTGGCTACTTTAATTTTCTATATGTTATTTGGACGTATAGAGAAACTTGAAATGCTGTTGAATTATAGATCTATATAATTGAAAGGAACTCAAAACATTTTCAATGTTGCTGTTTCAATCTGTTGCGTTTATCCTAAGAAGAGGTTGTATGTTTTAAAACCCATTCAGGGCCGGCTTTTGATAACTGGAGGCCCTAGGCGAAGTGAATTTGGTGGCCCCAAATGAAATAAAAATAAATATAAAGGCACAACGAAAAAAACAACAACCCTCAATTTATTAGAAACCTGCCGTAGTAGAGAGGGTTAGACTAGTAAACATAGAGTTATAGTGCACCACTATGTTAGAGATCTGATCCAGGTTTCGCTATTTTTTAATGTAATTTTTAATATCTTGTTTTGTTTTGTCCTGTGCAAAGCCCACACCGATTGGAGGCCTTAGTCGGCTGCTTAGTTTGCCTATGCCTAATGCCGGCCCTGACCCGCTATAAAAAGTTCACCTTTAAACAAGGTTTGCACTGTACATTTCTTTGTGAACAAAATTGAAATATTAATTTAAAAAAGAATGAAACCGGAATGGTGATGTTGAAAGTAATGCAGTCATTTATAGCAGTAACAGTCAGATAAAATGTTGTAAAAAATATGTATTGATTATGAATAGTATTTCTAGGTTTATGTGTGTGTGACTTTGGATATGCTACGGCTATTTACTTTTGTCCCTTCAACTGGATAGATAAGTAAAGCATAAAACGTATATATATATATATATAGAAACGTGTGACATGAACATATGTAATGAAAAGCAATAAATAAACTCCCTCGATGTGAACATATAACTATTTAAATTTATAATTATAAAATTCCAGAATAAAACAAAATTAAACAAAACATAAATAAAATTTTAGTTGTTTTTTTTTTAAAAAAGGACGTTTCCATGTACAATTTGATACATTCAAGAAGTGTTCTCATCATCGTCAATCAAACTTTATCTGAGTGAGTGCTTGTTAAATAATATTATGTGACGGGAGAAAAATAATTAATTAATTATAACATTTGCCAAATTCCCAAAATATTAACCAGTTACATATTTTAAGTATTAAATAAACACACGCTAATATGAAATGTTATCCAAACAAAAGTTCACTAGAAAGAAACAACTAACAGAATTTCTTTTGTTATTGACATTTTTATTCAATTGAATCAGAAAGGGAACGCAATATTTTCAATAATACAAACATTCAAAATATTTGAAGAATACAGGAGGATACAAAACAAAACATTAAAAGTCTGAACATACAAATATGGCGTTTTTTAAACAGCATTTTAAAATTTTACAAATGACAAAACTATTGCAATCATATTTGAAACCTAAGTAATCTTTCATTCTTTAATACACTGCAGAATTAAAGTGTTCAGATATAATTGGCAAACTGAATTTTACATTCAATTATCATATTTCTTGAATGCATCTATGACTCTTTTTCATTTTTCTCAAAAATTTTCTTCATTTCGACAGATAAAAGACACTTTTAGTGGTTAATTCTTTATCAAAAATGTGTGAAATTAGGAAAAATTTCGAACATAAACTCATTCAAACATCTAGCGTTTAGATAACTATTTTCAAAGATAATAAATGTAAAAAAATTATTTATGTAAATAGGTATCACGTAAGGAGACTACAAAAACATTTTGTTTTGTTTACTTAAAACTTTCGTACTAACAAAGGAACAATCTTTCCAGAAGTTTGCATCAGAGGAAAAGATGTCACCAGTTCTTTTTACAATTTATATCAAGCAAATGTATACATATTAAAAATACGCACACAAACATACGGAGCAATTTTCTATTTTTATGACCTACATGCCAAATGTGTAAAAATTTACCTTTTTTTTTAAAAAAAAAAAATCATAACACATAGAAGTATTTTATTTGGTCGTCCAAAAATAAAAATAAAGATGTTTCCTTCAATTTCAAAATGCAAAACTAAAACATTTTTAAAGGTTTGATGCTTAAATATTCGTTTATATATGCAAGGATAAAATCATTGTCTGCTTGATATCAGCCCTACGTACACGTGACGAATAGGGATACTTTTTGTTAATGATATATTACTCCGATATAGCGTATAATGCATAATCTTTTATATGCCCACTTTATGGTAAGCATCTATATCTAATTAGGTCACGTAGATATCACAGTGTTCGTGATTACACCAATAATGAATACCACTATTGTTTATTTTGTGGGTGTGTGTGTGACCTATGTGATAGACTTATGTCAAGGAAAATTTTTCGAAACGTACGTAACTACAGAATTTTGCGAAAATTTCAAATATACTGGTTGCTGCCCTTTGTACTCTTTTAATATCCAAAAGCACACAATATTAACTAACTAGTCAGAGAAAATAGTTTGGTGTCCACTTAAGACATAATGCTGTTACACATAGGTGATACTCATTACTCATAGCTACTGGGTGACTTTCCTCGGTTCCGCCAAGCAATGTCTATGTAAGTAGAGTTATTTTGCCAAGTCAAGACAATCTATTTTCATTAATGACTTCTTATGGGACAAAGTAAAACAAATCCACTGTCAGCACAACTAGGTAACAGACCATTAAGCACATTTTGAAAAATATATTTTTTTTGTTTGGCACAGTCTCTAAGTTAACCAGAGCTACCTTTTTTTTTTTTAAACAGACTCGCAAAGCATTATTAAAGAACGTACACACATTTCAAACACATCTAAATTAAAATCCACACATAATTGGCAACAGTTGAGCTCCATAATAAAAAAAATTGACATCAACATTTATTTAAAAAAAAAAAAAAAACATATCGCCATGTATGCATTGACATTATAGAAAACATAGTGTGGAGAAGATTAACCAATCAACACGCAGTTAGTTCAAATTAACCTATCAAAATGAAGGATTTCATGTGTTTGTTTGTATTTGAGGGGCAAAAGGGACTAGATGATGGGATTTAAACAAATGAATTTGAAAAGATTTTTAGAGAGTAAGGCCAAAACTAAACATCAATATTGAAAAGTCATCTAGGCTTGCCCCGAGTCACACAATGTCAAGGCCTGTATAATTGTTGGATCTTCTTTAGAACCTTCCAGGAACTCTTCAAACGTCAATTGGTCATCTTTATTCTGATGATATAAATAGTTAATAGAATAAATAGATAATAACATCTTAAAAGAATGCAAACAAAGCATACATATTTATTTGTTAAAAAGATGTGGGATGTGTGTCCGAGAGGCTAAGTACGCTAGGGCTTAGCTTGGCTACTTATCAAGGATGTCTTTAGGTTTCCATTTCTGACTCGACCAGGGTTGTGTTTACTGAGCGGCTAAAGGCGGCACGGAAAACCTTCTCCCAGATACCCCCCCCCCCCCCCAAAAAAAAACCCCCACAAAAAACTGGTCCACAATTGAGATTGGACCATAGCGCTCTGAGCATGCTATAAGCATGAAAGTTTCGATATAAAAAACATTTTTTTTTTAACTGAACAAGACTAACATTAAATCAAACATTTGCGAGGAAAAAAAAAGTTGTCGGTTGTTGTTATATCTATCGGACTTGACTATTTCTATACAAATATAAAAAGTCTTTCAACTTATTCCCAATCGTGTCGTTGTTCATTTAACATGAAACTTCACTGCTAATAATAAAGTTTATTTCAAAAGACGCAAGATGCTTAGTGAAAAAACACACAATTTTGTTTTTGTATTTATATTTGTTATGAAATTTGATTTTTAAACTGGACTCGGAAAATCTGCTAAACACTAGGGAAAGAAAAATCCTCAGAAAAATGTATGGTGCCATACATGAGGAAACCGGATGGAGGATTCGCACCAACCAAGAAATAGACCAGCTCTATGAAGACACTCTCCATAGTGACGGAAATCAAAAAGGAACAGATGACGTTGGGGGGCGGGTCGAAAGAATGCCAGAGAACAGAGGAGCAAAGATTGTTCACCTGCAAAAACCAAAAGGCAGTTGCCCGAAAGTCAGACCACGAGTACGGTGGCTTGATGACGTAGAGGCAGATCTACAACTACAGCTCAAAGTCCGGGCATGGAGACGTAAAGCCCAGAAAAAGATCAGAATGGAGACATGTGCATAAGCAGACCAGAGACCTCCATAGCTGTAGGCCTTCATAGGCTGTAGCGCCACTAGGATGGATGGATGATTATTAATATTTAACAGGGCCGGCCCTAACAAGCGCGGGGCCCTATGCGAAACGAATTGCGCGGGGCCCACTATGGGTAGGTATAAGGATAATTAGTAAAAATAAGATTTGTATCAGAAAATGAATTCGTCCTTATCTTTTATTCATTCTCTACTAAGCACAAAATCATGATCAAATTTTACGAGCCTTGCATGCTGCGGAGTCATACAGCAGGCTATACCATTAGAGTTCTGTTTCATACATTGATCACGCTCAATAACTTCGAATTTGTGTTTTCGTAAATTGTTGACCTCAAAAAATTCTTGATTAGTTTGAGGCGAGAGAAGCTTCTTTCACAAGATGCCAGAGTTACGGATATTAAAAAAAAATAGGGGCCTACTCTGCAACAAGGTAGTTTGGGAAAGCAGTATACCTTTCATTAGTGGACAGATAAGCTAAAATTTCTACCGCGGTTTTGACGGTATTTGTTAGAATATGCCTTAAAGGTGACAATTTTGTCAGTTTTTCATGACACTTTTATGGATTTTCAGGAGATTTTAATAATTTTAGGAGATTTCAGGAGCTTCTGGTAAATCAGAAGGCTTCTGGAACCCCGTTCTAAGTTATAATGGTTTAATCATTTACACCTAGAATTAGCGCGGGACCCACTGCAGCCGCATAGGTTGCAGTGGCCTAAGACCGACCCTGACATTAAAGATAAACTCTTTTATATTAAATTTAGCTAAGCAAACAAAATATTAACGTAATGATCTTATCGTGCTAGGTAGACTACCGAGTGCTGCTATGATAATGTGTACATTATGTTTGTTGGAAGGATTATTGAGAGGAAGTAGAAGTTGTGCATTAAATTTTGAATTCCTACAGACCTAGACAAGATGGAAATAAGTCTAGTACAAAATACACAATAAATGCAAAGTGTACATCTACAGAAAAATGTCGCCATAAGGTCGGAAAATGAAAAAATAGGAAGATATTTAATAAGAATACAAAATAAACTTTTTTTTTTTTAAAAGGATCAGTTCAGTTGAAATACAATGGATAAAGATAATTTTGAAACACCTAAAATAGATCCAAATCTGACCTTATCCATGACTTGAAATATTCTATTGACTCTTTTCTCTGGAGTGTTCTCTTCCTCTGGTAATGTAACAGACTCTCCCTGAACAACAAACGATGCAAAATAGTTTATGTACTTCGCAGTGCAACCATATAATTACACTACAAATGACTTTTAAAAATTTCTTATTAATAAAAAAAAATTTGGTTCTATAACTGGTATTATAAAAATAAAGACATCATTTAGAGTTGTTTTAAAAGAAAACTTTTACTGTTTCTGTCAACATTTTAATGGAATGTATTGTTAATTCCACTTACCACCATTCTATAAATAGCATCCACGATGTCTAAGAGCTCTTCTCTTGTTATATATCCGTCATTGTCAAGGTCATACAGACGGAAGGCCCCTGTGGAGATATAGAGAGATGTCAAGGTCATACAGACGGAAGCCCCTTGTTGAGATATATCAAGGTCCTACAGACGGAAGCCTAATGTAGAGATATAGATATGTCAAGGTCATACAGGCAGACGCCCCACGCGGAGATATAGACATGTTAAGGTCATAAACCAGGAAGGCCCAGTGGATATACGCCAAGGTAGTATAGACGGAAGCCGGTGTGGAGATATGTCAATGTTATACAGACGGAAGCCCCCCGTGGAGATATAATATGTCATGGTCATATAGACGGAAGCCCCTGTGGAGATACAATATGTCCAGGTCATATAGACTGAAGCCCCCTGTGGAGATATAATATGCCAAGGTCATACAGACGGAAGGCCCTTGTGGAGATATAGAGATATGTCAAGGTCATATATAATGAAGGCTCCTGTGGAGATATGTCAAGGCCATACAGACTGAAAGCTTCTGTAGAAATAATATTGAAACATGCTTTACAAACTTACAAAGCCTAAATGTTTGACTCTAATACAATAAATAAACTATAAGAACATTAGACGTTGTCTTCGATTCCAAAGATTAAGGATGAGTGCTGCATTTCACTTGAAACGAATGTTTTGTTACAACTTTATATGACATACTCCCAGATGTAGCCTCGGTCTACAAGAGCAAAATGATAAAAAGAGAAGACAATAGCATTCACACACACACACACACAAGGGCTACAGCAACATCTACTAAAACAACAACAAAAAACAAAATAACTGCAACAGCACAGAGTGACCTACATTTCAATTTTTCTTCTACCGTTCCTCTTGACGTCACAGACAGAGCTTGTAAAAATTCACTAAATGATATAAACCCATCCTGAAATAAAACATAGACATAGAACTTACAAAAGAAAAAAAAAAGAAAATATTTATCTGACAAGATACGCACAGACGAACATTTGGTAAAAAAAAAAAAAAATAATAATAATTATTATTATTTCTTTACTTTACAGCGGCCAACTTTTCATTTAAGCTTACACTTAACAAAACAAAACTTTATTTAATGTCGTCTGCTCAATTTACGCGTCATAAATCAGAGCGAAATTTCCCACTTTAAAAATGTCTTTGCACTTAGAAGCGTCGAAGCACCAAATAGTCTCTGACTACCAATGCTACCCTGATATTATAGAGCTCACGTGTTTTCCACATCAGTGAAGACTATTGACTACAGTTTAGCCAAGCGGGAGCAACTCACGAAGTTTAACACGTATATTCTGCTGTTTGATTTATGACCTTGACCTTATTACTCTGTAACAAAATTTTGTGTTGTAAGTTTGTGTGTGTGTCTGTTTTTACTTTCTTTGGTCAGTATATTACCAAAATGAGCTCTTTAAAGATTGAATCTATGTTTAGTTTTTTAGGTCTATTTAAATTAGTAATATTAATTACATTATATTAGTTAAGACTTTGAAAAAATCAATTCATTTCAAGATCAGTGTATAATTATAATAACAGTTTAGCTCTGGTGTAGGAGTGTACTCTAAAAAACATCTAGGCTTATGTTTCCAGAATCATTGATCAAATAGTGGTGAATAGGAAAGCATTTAAAGACCTTATTTTCTGTTCGCTAATGAATTGAACAGCCTACTGACCTTATTTTTTCTGGTCACTAATTATCTACTAATGAATCTGACTAAACATAGACCTTGTTTTCCTATAGGTCTACCAATGATTCAAGCAACATCAAACAGCAGACTGACCGCACATTCGTGGATCGCTGATCAATTTCTAATAAATCAAACAGAATACTATCCCGATTTTCCTGGACCACTGATCCTCAATTAAAGAATCAGACAACATAATAATTTTATTTTCCTGTATCATCCTAGGTCACTGTTCATCTAGTAATAAAAATAGAAAATGTAATGACCTTTTTTCCACTAGGTCACTGTTCATCTAGTAATAAAAATAGAAAATGTAATGACCTTTTTTCCACTAGGTCACTGTTCATCTAGTAATAAAAATAGAAAATGTAATGACCTTTTTTCCACTAGGTCACTGTTCATCTAGTAATAAAAATAGAAAATGTAATGACCTTTTTTCCACTAGGTCACTGTTCATCTAGTAATAAAAATAGAAAATGTAATGACCTTTTTTCCACTAGGTCACTGTTCATCTAGTAATAAAAATAGAAAATGTAATGACCTTTTTTCCACTAGGTCACTGTTCATCTAGTAATAAAAATAGAAAATGTAATGACCTTTTTTCCACTAGGTCACTGTTCATCTAGTAATAAAAATAGAAAATGT